TGCCGGAATATTGAAATTTTGCTTGCAATGCGTTCAAGAGCAAAGTAGAAAGTTGAGCAAACCCTGTCGATATTTGCTACCTTTTTCTGGTGACCAAAACGCCCCATTATGTGCAATCCCCAGATAAAGATAACATCGAGAGATCTTTTTTCAGGGTACGGTTCTGCAAAAAAGCGATATCGTAAACAAATTGCATTCGTGGTACAACTCAAAAGTGAATATGAACCGTAGTCTGTCGACCCCAAATATTGTTGCTTAAACTGCCTGAATGCTTGCGTGCAAACAAGGAATCTTAGTTATTCTAGCTAAGGTGTTGTTCTTACACGCATTCCGTTCTCCCTTGGTGTCGCGTATGATCCGTTTCAGTCTGTCTACAAGCCAAGTAGATACACACGAGATACAGTTTCCTCAATTGTACATGGAATTATCAAATCCCTGAATAACTGCTTAATATGTACGTTGTGTTCCTGGACTACTCGTCCGCTTTAGATTCTATTCCTGGTTCCATTTTTCTTCATTAGCAGGAGATGTTCATTTGTTCCAGGCAGTTATTAGCATGGCTTGCTGATTATTCTTGTGGGAGAACTCAATGCACCAGACTAGGTCGGAAGAAGTCCAAACCATTGGTGAAAAACTCCGGGTACTCAAAGGTGCAGACATTTGCCCATATTTATTTTCTACATATATTAGCTAATTGTTTGCTAGCACCCCAGCTTCTCTCGTTAAAGACGCTGATGCTGTAGTTTTCTGTCAGAATATCTCCAATTCTTCTGGTTCTTCACAATTTTCTCACATTCTACAAATTTCCGCTACATCCGGTCTCTCTTAATCTTTCCAAATGTTTCTAAGCTATTTACATTATCATGTTCTTCTTTCTCATCAGAGGAATAACCACCAGAAGTGATGGATAGGAAAGTGCAAAGAGATGTAAAGAGCTGCTGCTATTGGTAACAGGGTCCGATCTCACGGCACTTTTTCGCCAGAGTTCACCACGGAAAAAGGTGTTTGACAGGGTTACCCTCTCTCTCCTTTTCTATTTAACTTTGTTATAGATTTTATTACGGAAACAGCTCTATCCTCCTTTGAGGATAGTGGTATCTGTTTACTCCCAGTTGGTAGACTGTCTGATCTGGAGTATGCAGACGACACTGTGCTACTAAGTGAAGATTCAGGTAAGTTGCAAGCTGTTTTGGACAGCTTGCGTGCCAGCGTAGCCATGTTCGGTATGCGTTTTGCACCTTCAAAGTGTAAAATGTTACTACAAGACTGGGTTGGTCCAGCACCCAGGACTTACTCTGATTGAGGAAGTTATAGAACAAGTGAATAAGTTTTGCTACTTGGGTAGCTATATCTCACCCGGTGGACGCACCACGGAGGAAGTGTCAGCTCGCGTACAGAAGGCTCGATTGGCATTTGCTAACTTGAGACATCTGTGGCGCCGTCGCGACATCCGGCTGTCTGTGAAGGGTCGAGTGTATGCAGCAGCAGTTCGGCCAGTTCTACTATGCGGTACCGAAACTTGGTCATTAAGAAAACAGGGTAAAGATAGACTGTCGGTGTTTGAACACCGCTGTCTACGCAGCTTTGCACGAATCTGGTGGGGAAGCTTTTGGTCACTGCGGCCCACTGAAGCTATTGGTCGACCTCCATGGATTACTTTGGTTGGGGCATGTGTTATGCATATCACCAAATAGATTGCCACGGCGAGCGATGTTCGCCGAGGCAGGTTGTGAGTGGAATAAAGCCAAGAGAGGGTATAAAAACCCTAATCAGGAGTCTGGGTCATATAGGTCCCGTTAGGCTCCCTGGATGGGGACCTCGGGCAGATTGTAACCCATGGTTAGGGACACTGAGTGTCGTAAACAGTGGAGTTTGTGTATCTTTTCAATTTCTTTGCAGCATTAGTCTACTGAAATTCCCAATTTTCTCTTCGATTCCATTTTCAACCTTTTCTGTCTTCCGCCTGCTGTTCAACCAAATTTTTCAGCAACCAAAACCGGCCCACAAAAGTGCATGATTAATGGTTGTTCAAACTGAAACGTCTCATCTAAACCTGTATCTTTTATTTTTTACGACTGCGTTTTTCGATTCAGATTCTATTCTTATTAAGGCACGGGGTAAATACTATTGATTATGGTCCGTAAGAAAGTTTTGCCTTCCATAGATGATTCCATCAAATTTTCATTTAGTCATTCTTAATACAAAAGTTTACAACTTTCACATAGAGGAGTAAATAAAGCTCAAATGCATTCTAAACTGGTTTACCCTGTTTGTTCAGCAGATGAGAACCCCTCTTTGTCAGACTAAGACACATAGAAGTGGATCTAATCATCTCGGCCTGAGTTCAAAATTGTCAAAGTACAAATGGACGCAACAGTGACCTGATTTTCTTGAAAGCTAATCATTTGATCTTCGTTCCAACTGGATGCATATCATCATATCTATGGTAATGGGTAGTCTTCTGTGGAAAACGGAAGGCTCCATAGAAAGCATCATATTTTATCCTCATCAACCTTAAGACACGGATGTGCATATCTTCGTTCAGAACGTGCCACAAAATCGATTGCTGAGGAAGTTAATTCTAAATGCACAACGATCAGAAAAGTTTCTTAGGATAACGGGTTGTTATCGAAAGCCGCGCACCAAGGGCGCGATACCGGTGTTACTGGTGTGCAACACATGGAAGTACTATTGTATGGAGCGATGAAACAAGGTTCAACCGTTGTCCCGGAGGACTCAATTTGGTTTCTTTTCTGGAAGCGGCTTCAATTACTCATCCAGCATATTAAGTGCTTCGATCACTCATGGATTCGTCGGTATAATTCAATTCACTTTTCCTATCAAGTTTAATGGCCAGCTACACTGTAACAGAATGATTGTCACTTTGTTCATCCATTCCGTAGATGTACCTCTGTCCCCAAGTATGCTGTCTGTTTGAACACCGGGAAGCTATTCAGAGATTTGTTCGTTAATATCGGTACATACTGTTGGGTCACTCATCTTTACAAGCTGGTTTGCGGACGTCACACCTCGTTTATCTCAGCAATAGTCTCCAGGATTAGAACTCTTTTGGAAAAATTCCGAATAAGGTTACTTGAGAGAGTGGTGGATGATTCGCTTCCATTATATGGTAACGTTCGAGTATAAAAATATGAAAAATGAAGTGATCAGCTTCCATTGGTCAAGTGAATAGAATAATTGCATTTTATCTGTGATGTCTCTGGCTCGATCCTAAGCTGAGCTGATTCATTCGCACAGATTGTGAGACCCAAACAGGTCAAACGGCTGTACAATGAATCCTACGTTTTAATTCACTCTTGGTTTGTTCTGTATACGACGAAACTCGAAATATAACCGGAGTATTTAATTACCTAATTTTCACCGTCAAGAGCTAAGCGCTAAACTTTGGACTCATTCACATTATACTGTTTGATAAAAATAGTTCGAAACAAATCCAGTGAATTACAGTTTCTGCTATGTTGATGAAACTAATTTGTTCGAACCTATTTGAAGTAAGGATACTGCGTAGCTAGCGATCTTATTGCAAAGGGTTCGAGTGTTATATTTATTTTGTTATTTTTCATCATGAAGTAATTTTTTCGGAAAGCCAATATCATTGGCCACTGTAAGATAGAAATGTAAACTTTTGTTGGTTTTCAATACTTATCAGTACGTCTGATTCCAACACTCCTTTTATAATCTAATAATGTAAGCAAAACCAGCATCCCATTCAATAACATCCATTGTCGTTTTAGATCTAATTCTGTAAAATAACACTGACAGATTTTTAAAAATTTTGTATTTTTGATTCACCGTTGACAGTTTGGTCTTAGGACAGTGCGGCAAATTGCTTAACTTTGATAGATACCAATTAACAACTTTTCTGACTGCTCACTGGAGCGGGATTATATAAAAGTGTATTCATGTACTGCTAATAAAACCATCGAAATTTCACATTAAAAAATTAGTAATCATAATGTTTTAGTTGTGAGAATAGTCTATCGGTAGGCAATGAAGACTATCTGCACGAATTGGCGCAAAACGATCTAAGTGAATTTTCACTGAGACAAACCTGAATGTACCTCTTAAGTCCTACCCAAATTTATACATCATTTTTCGTTAACCTGCAACCACCGTGCTCAGCTTCCAAACAGCTGAATAAATACTATTTCTGGTTGCAGTTTAAGACATATGGCATGAATTATTAAATCCCTCGAATTACATTACCTGTTCTGTTCAAATCTGCTGTAAATAATGTGTTTTATGTTTGCATGAAAAAGTGTTTAGTGCCGGTAATTTGAATTATTAGCGATACTTCATATATGAGTTATTTCGTAGTTTCCGAGCCTGAACAGATAGAGGGGTTCATTGTGCCTATTGATTGTTTCGTAAACACGGTATAATGATCTACCCCGTCCCACGCACAGGGCGTGTCTGATTCAGCTATTTATTTTTGCGCATACAAAGCGTACGATTGATAGTGTTTAATTCACTCACTGAAATGGTGTGAATTTAAAATATTTCTGACTGAACTTATGACATAGTTTGGTATGCAGCAGCAGATCAGACTTAAATTAAAGCGATACGTCCAGAAAACGGATACTTTAATGCTGACCCGTACTAATATTTTGTGTAAGGATTTCGGTGAAAAAAAATCATAAGAGGTCATAGCTCAATTAGGTCAGGATGATCTTATTGTAATAGATAATATCTATCAATCTTCTCATGAGTCTAAAATCGTGCTTGGCTTACAATCACTTGTTCAGGTAGTCCTCTGAGTTCTGACCGCGCACAGGTAAGAATGGAACCGGTGTTATTTGAAGCTACCTATGTGACTTATTATCAGTCAAACATGAGACTTGAAATGCTTGTTGTTCACTTATTTTGGTTTGCGGATCACTCAGGATAACAACCTATCAGAAACGAATATTTGTTTCGTTAAATATACCATAATTGTTTTACACATGCTAAATTTACTCTCGTTCCCATTTCATTTTCAGGGTACCAGTCCGGGTGTATATTTTAAATAGACATGGACCAGTGTTTGATAGCCTAAGCTATCAGTTCACTGTGAGTCAGCATTCTCCCACCGGTACTGTGGTGGGTCAAGTCGCAGCTATTGCTGAGTTCAATTCACGCGAGGATGACAAAGCGACAAAAATTTGTGATTACCGAGTCAGTCCGGTAGACGTACCATTCACTATTGATCGATATGGTAAGTTTCTTGAGGTCAATTACTGGCTAAGACGGTGTTTTAAGAACTTCTGTGATTCGATCAGTTGGCCGTCTGAATACTAGTAGTAGTAGTAAGAGTACTTAAAAACACGTAAAATCCGCTTTAGAACAATCTGATTGAGACAGCAGAATTATATTTGCTGTGTTATTTTACAGGGGAATGTATAAAGTGAAAAAATGTTTCAATCATTGGTAATGCGAAATACAACAAAGACTTAAATTTGTCAAAATAAAAACGTTTCCCTTGCATCATCGTATTTTACAACAAAATGTTTTACTTTCAGTTTTTTGGACAATGTATTCTTTACAGATACTATTACATAACTGTTTTACTCAGTTGTCAGGACCGTTTGAATAGAGTTAATCGATTTGTGATATTAAGAGTAAAGGCCAGTAGATGCTTTCACATCAACTCAATTGACTAATTAACTAATCTCCAGTTTACCTATTCACTGCGCAATTTCGATCCACTGTTCAGCTCAGATTCATATTTTCTTTATCCACTGAGTATCCCAAATTGCGACTGACCCTCCCAAAACGCGTAATGGAACAAAATGTAACCTACCGGTTAAATGTAATCCTCTACTTAAAAAAACTGGATTATCTTTCTAGCACATAAAGTTTGTCAATAGGAACCTGGACAGGAGTGTGTTCTTCTCTCTAGCTAGGATAACCAATCTGGCTTCTGCGGTACATATTAAATTCAACACAAACCGATTAACACATCTTTTATGCGGGTAATGTTGTGAACATTGGATAACAGAACAAATCCATCAAGAGAACTGAATTTATCAAATGTCGTTTTTGTTCATGGAAAAACTGAACAGAATGGCATTGGTGAGCTGATGATCAACTCTGTCAACCCTGTTTGCTTTCAGCGCAATTTAAGCAACTTATTATGGTTGCTCTGGAAGAATGCACTCATTGCATTTCATCTGACTGATTTTGACAATAAATTTGGAGCAGGCTTCAGGATTTCTGGGAGCTCGCTAATCGGCATTCACTTCGACAGTGCGAAACATTAGTTGATGGTGTGCAATAACCGCGGACACCACCAAATATAGCAGAAAAAGATACCGACTATTCTACACCTACTTATCATCATCCCTGAAATGGATAATGTTGTTTTGATGCTGAGGAAGCAATTTGTCGGGTTTCACCATCGAGCTCAAAAACAAAACTTGATTGGTGAATCACAGCAGTGTGGACGTCAGTCAGAGGAAACTGATTGTGTGAGTTAGCGATGAAAGTGGAGTAATTAACTGCCAAGTTTAACGTGCTGAGCTGTGTAGCCACTAAACATTTGAGGAGATTAACTGAGTAGATTTATTGATCGCTTTTTACGTGTGATAGATTTCTACCGTTTCTTTTGTTGTTTGTTGTTGTATCTCAGAGTATGCAATGCAGGTCTTCATGTATTTCTCTATGGTTACCGGTTCATAAAATTAGCCCTGAACCACAAAGTGGTGTGCTATATTTTGGAAATGAATTAAACATCCAACCAGGAATTAAACAACACTAACATGATTTACTTCACATAGAAGATAATAACTGTCGAGATAGGCAGCGGGATGGATCTCAACTATTCCTGATCAAGGTGAAAAGTTGGTGTTTTATTTGAACATCATTGCTTGTTGTAATGATGTTTTTTCATCATTAAATATATGTTTTTAGAGTTCTGCCAATATGGTTTTACTTTTTTGGATACCTTAGCTGTATGGGTATGTCAAACCAACAGCGATCAAGTCATAGGATCACATTGGTAGCAAACAATATCTAGTTAATCGACGCCCCATGTGATCAGAATATTCTTTCCTTTTCCTCTTTCTATTGAATGTATACTACACTCCTTCCAATTTGAGGTCATTTTTTGAAATTGGTGCCAAACTTCATTCTTTCGTCAAAGTATAGCGTTAAATTTTATCCCATCGGTAACTCATCACTGAATTTGTTCAATAATACCTTACAATCAGAACGGTGCTTGTTATCCTGAACGAACAGTGGTAACTCAAATGTGAAACACTTCTGCCCAATTATCAATACACCTGTTGACTGTGCTAGTTGGTAGACATTTTGAGCAAAAACCAAAAAAATATAAAGTTAACACGAGACTACGGGACTTATCCGGTTTTAGACATCACACTGACAACGAAATTGTCAGTACTAAATATGTCCTCGCAATGAAGTTGATTCAGCTCCCGAATTGGTGCCATCCTAGGAAATGACCTTGTGTTCATGTTTAGACCAACTAACATGAAATATTACTTTCTCGTTTAACGCGAACACCGAAGTTTTGTTAAAATAATTTTGTATTCCACATATTCGTGTTTTTAGCTGTGATAAAAGATTCCATTGAAGCGACAGTGTAACTGATAAAAGAATTTTTCATTTGAAATCTCATAAGAAAAGTGCCACCGGCTGTTGGAGAGGTAAAAGATACTTTCTATTTGTCACGTTTTAGAGTGATAGAGACAGCATGTCATAAAAAGCTGGTTTTGCATACCCAAATGTTTATACTATTTATATATGAATAATATTGGCATTACTGTACTATGGGAAACGTATGCTTCATTGTTGAAACCACAGACAATTACCAGTGAAATGCGTGACGAAATCGCCTAAGGTACTATCTGAGGCAATGGCAAAGTTTATTGCTAATTCTGTCTGAGTGGTTCATATTTTGAACGACTCCCAAAAGATGTTGTGTTGAATGATATCATGGTGATCTCCGAGAAATGTTTGCATGCTTTTTTGTCAAAATTACTGGAGAAACTAACCTTGAATCAAATCATATACAACCATAGATATTAACAAGTAATGTCCAGCTTCAAGGCTTAGTTTAAGAAATAGTCAAATATCATTAAAATGCTGCTTGGCAGATTGAAGTTTTTATATCGAGATTGTGGAAAATTTGGCAGCCTTGGTAGGATTCGAACCCACGCATGGACGCCGCGTACGCTTTTGTACAGCACACACTCTACCAGCTGAGATTGGATGGGTAATTCGAATGCGAAAAGATCAGTGCTATCGGTGTGGCTTTATAGCTCAGCTGGCAGAGCGTGCGCTGAACAAAGCATAGGCGGCGCCCAATTATGGGGTCGAATCCCACCGAGGCCACTGAACTGCTTGCAATCTCGGCATAGAATATCATTAAACTAGGTAATGCAAAACATGAAAATGTTCAATCAAGCTCATGTAATTGACCCATCATAAAACAAACTCCGATTGCTTAACTCTGCCTTTTCTCTTGAACTACTGTAGTTGAGGATGCGCATTATTCGAAAATGTTGTAGACTGAGAAAGCTCAAGTTTAGATAGATGAATAACGATGTTCACATTAGTTTATTGCATATTGCTTTTAAATCAGTTTGAAGTTTTTGCCGGTCAGTGTTGGTGATCATTTGATTTTTTTCCGCACATTTAAATTAATTCCATACTTAAATGCCCGAAAAGTATATCCATCTCAGTGTCATGAACGTCCTCAAGGTGGGCTACAGTGTGAATGCATTGAGAGAGGAAGTTTGGGTACAATTGAACTAATAATCACTTGGTGCCAATTGCTTGGTTTGTTCAACAGAAGTTAGAGACATCGTCACATAACGCAAATTTGTGAAAATCGTTCTGCTTTGACTCGGATCTTGTGATACCATTTAAACCACCTGTCATTAGTTCACCCGATCGCATGTCATCTTCCATGCTTTTACGACACCAGCGTTCATAGGGATTACATCTGAGGGGAAACCATGTAAATTGATCTAATCTTTTGTATTCATATGATATTTACAGAATGTGTTAAGTTTAGTAACTAGTCCTTAAATCGCAGGTGTTCTTACACATTGGGGTAAATCTATTCCTCAAGTTGATGACAATGACATAATGCAAACAATGCAAAAGATGTGAGGATTCTCATGCGGCGGTTGTATCAAGCATTCCTATCCAAAAGGTAATTTATACTATAAGCTGAATATTAATCAAATTAAAAACATTTGGTTTGACGATCACTGGGGAGCATGCAATCACAGACCTAACAATAACTTGTGGGGAACAGAAAGTATTCTCGATCGGAGTTAGAAATATGAAAGCTTTCTAACTTTGCAGAGTGTATTCTGAAAGTGCAGAAACCATGATAAATTGTGTGATAGTGTGACGCCAAGGTATTTTATCATTGAGGTTGTCGGTATGGGTTCATGATTCGTAGAAAGAGTGGAAAACCTATTTGTGAGGACTAAATACGGTTCATCAGTCAATATGAAAATCACATCCTGACATTTTGAGGCAACAAATGAGAGGGAACGGGACACCGACCAACTAACAACGTTGAGCTTGCTTTGAATTTCTGAATCCTCTTCAGTGGTGGGTGTTCTGCATTCTAAAGCAACATTTTCTGCGTATTTATGGTCAATGAATGTAGAAAGAATGGGAGATTGTTCCACCTACTTTATAAAAAAACGAGCTAAGAATTGCACCTTGAAGAACATCAGAGAAGCAACTTGGTGAGTGAAAGATTGCTGGGCGTTTAGGCACTTGAACTGCCTTTTATTCGTGAAATAAATGCGGAATTATCTGCCAAAGTTTGGATTAACACAACTTTCGGTAATCAGGTTGGGCAATACGGATCGATTCAAACTGCCGAATGAGTTTTGTAGTCTAAGAACACCATTCTGACGGCCTCACACTTCCTATCTGGAGCCGAAGGTATTGAGTGAGCAAGGTGGGCAACAGAATCAAGTGTTGAGCGCGAAGACTGATATGCAAATTGGTGAACGTCGTCTTCGGCCTATTCAGTTACAACCCACGGTAGCAAGCTGCTCTCAAATATTTTGAGCATGACTGACGGGCAGACGATGTGACGGTACTTCCCGGGCTCCTTTTTGAGAACGAAAGTTATTTTGGCCAGCCTCCAAATGTCAGGAAATTTTCCGCTTATCAGATAATCATTGGATATGTTAAATAGTGGGACTGAAAGTGTCCGAATATACCTCGAGTAACACAGGTAATAGTTCATCCCACCAGATGCCTTATTCATCTTCGTTTTCCGTAGCTGTCTGAGGACCGTGGCGGGTTCGATAGTTGGTGGTGGAGTAGAACTCACCAAGTCTGGCAGGGCTATGAAACTGGACTAAACTTGAAACTCAGTCTTTCAACATTGATAGTTACTCTTTCTTGTTTATTGGTACTGCCACACAGGCTTTTGATAGCTCTCCACATACTGCGATAACTGAATTTTCCCAGTATAGTGTCCATGTACAATTAATTCAAACGATTTATTTCAGATTTGATAAAAAATTGTAAGCCGCTTTGCATGAGTTCTCTGTTCATGCTTATAGACCTGCTTAGCTGTTTTAGTAACGGTGATAAGCATGTATCTTTATGGATGAAGACCGTTTCAAGTGGACAGTATTGGTTAAAGCAAACATCAGGGTAGTCAGTAACATGTTCACAGAGGACAGAAGGTTCCCGATCTGAAAACACCGAAAAGCTATGGTGGCAATCAAGGATCTCAGTTTTTCTAGTTTCTTCGATAAGCAGTTCCTTCGACTTATCATCTTGGGTCGTCTTGAAAACGTGTACCGGTTAGTTTTGCTGTAAACAGTTAGACACATTTTTAAGATCCGCTGATCGGAGCTACTCAGAGGGGCACGTTTCTGAATTTTCAGAACTTGCGGTCTATTTGTAAAAACGAAATCTGGTTGTGCATCGAGTCTAGTAGGAAAATTTACCATATTTTTTAGATCCAGTACAGTAAGGAAAGCCACAACATGTTTCTTAAAATCACCAACAAATGCACACAAAGATTTATTTGTTAGTGCTTTCTATGATGAAGGTGGAAAAACATCAGAAAACCTATTTTCGTTGATACTGTGGGCTACAGGTAAACGTTTCCAAGCCGTACGGAACGAAACCGACGCAGAAAACGAGGCTTACAATCAATGACGTGGCAACTGATTTCATCCGTGGAGTATTCGTAGACGACTGCATTCGATTTACTCCAATTGTTGTTAACATAACTTGCAACGCCTCCGCCTTGTTTGTAGACACTCAAGGAACGGTCACCCCGATACAGATTATACCTATCCAAGGTTGTAACTTCACTGGAAATTTCTTTATGCAACTACAATTCTAGTGGTATAACAATCTCAAGGATTTTACTTCTTTTTCGTGTGATGTCTACTACATCGTCGACTTTTTCCAACAGAGAACGCATGTTGCTTGGTAAAGTAAGAGAAATTTGCATTTTACGAGTATTGCTCTGTCTGAGACCGGCTTGCCAACTCGCGCAATGTTTCTCTCGTCGGCTGCCTCGTGCTTGGATAATCCGCTTGAAATTGTTTCTCTATTTGTCGGCATAATTCACAAAAGATGCGGTTCTCACGATAGCACAACGATTTTATAAATGTACTCTTGTAGGGTAGCATTTGGTGTCGTTGATCAGGATGCGATTGATGATGAGTAAATCCACAAAAAGGTATAACGTGATTTTCGAGCTTAGTGGCGAAACCGAATTCAAAGGCATCAAGGTATTTGATAATCAACGAGAAAGCACGACAATTACTCTAATGATGAAAGACCAAAATGACTTCAACAGTTATTCAATATTTGTGATACTCTTCTTCTTATGTAATGTGCAAAATGTCACATCAAAAGCATGCATTTTTGCTTTGTTTGGTCATTTTTAACACGATTCCTCTAAGTCATAGACAAAAATGGAGCTTTTAAGTTTAACTACAAACTACCGTAATAGTAGGCACCAATTATAAACGGAATTGTCTATCGATTAGAATGATTGTTTCCAACGGAGGGCGGATCTGTGCACGCGTCTGTGCGAATTTAGAACAGTGTCAGTCATTAAATATGATCCCCTGGCATGAATCAACTTTAATGTTGTGAAGATTATACGTTTGTATACTACAATATGCCATATATATGCTTATTCTACTGACTTTATATAACATTTCAAAGATAACTTTTGTACCTAGTCTCGGATGACTATCTATACCATCAATAACCTCGTAATGTTGCACCTTACGGCCTTTGTATCTACACCTTTTTCCATTAAGCTTTAGTCAAAACCCATAGTCCTTTAGCCTCAACGCACAAACTTTAGTCACGCCGCAGTAGACGAGTCAGATCAAAAAGTTTCGGAATATTCTGAAGTCAACGAATGTTGAGAAAAATTATTTTCTATAAATGTTGATGTTGCAAAGCTTGGTTAAGAAATAAGAAGGTGTGGGAGTTGCATGCTGCAGCACATGTTGATTGGAGAAGCTTTAACCGATGTGTCCGTATCGTCACATCATTTGACACATCTCGTACAGCTTCTGTGTTTCTGTATAACACGCGATACTTCTAGGAGGAAACATCTCAAGTGTAACTCAAACGATACATTGTTTTGCATTAACAAGTGAACTCTGTTCATCAGAAGGGGATACAAAAACCTACTGAGGATAACAAACCGTTCGCAAAAGAACACCTCAATAACTATCATCAGTTTATTAATGATGCAACGTAAGTTCTAATTACCAGGGTCGAGGCTTGATTATTGCCGGTTTTTGTCTATAGCTTCTTGGGAAACGGTGTTCTAAAGGGGTCTTTTGGGATCAGTGTTTATTTTTCTCGACCTTTTAGTGTATCCGTATGTCAAAAAACAAAGTTCCCTTTAAGTGAATGTACGAAACAGCAAGCATATACCTTTTGGTTTATTTCAGGAAGTGTGAATGCAAAACAATGTATCGTTTGAGTTACACTTGAGATGTTTCCTCCTAGAAGTATCGCGTGTTATACAGAAACACAGAAGCTGTACGAGATGTGTCAAATGATGTGACGATACGGACACATCGGTTAAAGCTTCTCCAATCAACATGTGCTGCAGCATGCAACTCCCACACCTTCTTATTTCTTAACCAAGCTTTGCAACATCAACATTTATAGAAAATAATTTTTCTCAACATTCGTTGACTTCAGAATATTCCGAAACTTTTTGATCTGACTCGTCTACTGCGGCGTGACTAAAGTTTGTGCGTTGAGGCTAAAGGACTATGGGTTTTGACTAAAGCATTGAGGGTTTTGGCTAAAGGAATGTACGTCAAGGCTAAGGGATTGTGGGTTTTGGCTAAAGCTTGATGTAGAACATTAATTATTAAGTCTTGCTGTTTGTTTTTAGCAAGTGAGTAATAACATATTGTTTAATCGGAATTCGAGGTGTTCTCCTTTGTCTTGTATACATGTTTGCTTGTATCTACTGTATCATAGTAACTAACCATTTTGTCATCATTTGTTCTAAAAATTGAGGAACCAGACGCTTTCATTTTTCATTTTAATCTGCTCTTCATTTCATGATATGTTTTTAGCCTAATGATACGTTTTACGTGAATGATAGATGAAGTTATATTTTAATAAACTGAAGACTCATTTGCGAATCAGACATCGTGATTCAGTGTTCGTGTGTAAACTCCGGGAAAACATGAAGACTAGCATCTTAGGTAATTAAAGTTAAAGGTTGAAAATGAGTAGAACGATGGTTTTGAAAGATTGATAAATTCGCAAGCCGGATGACGTCATACATTTACCAGCAGGCGGATGTCGGTTAAACTATGAAGCTCAGGAAAACCTGTAGCGTCTGTTTTGTATTAGTTATTTAATTAAAGCGTATTAGAAGTCTCAGTTTTATGGGACCCTGGAGATGTGGATGTTTTTCATATTGTTTCATTCATAAGCGTCTGACATTTTCCTGTGCATCATACTACCGTAACAGCTTAATTGCATAGTACAGTAATTTTTATTCATTGTTCTTCCGGCCAAGAAATGGTAAACTCTATCTCTCGCTTCTGTGAACATGTTGCTTCTCAAGCCATTGAGGTTTACCAATAGCGTTGAATCCCAAATCTAGAAATACTATTTCAAATTGGTTGCTTTCAGCATCGGGAGTATATCTCCCTACATTGTTGCTTCGATGATAGTTTATTTCGAAATTCAGTAACTCACGAGAAGAGTGAAACAAGTAACAATATTTATGCCAGGCAATAAATAATACAACACGATTGAATAAAAATGAGTTCAATTTCGGCATTTGATTACCGTGCTATTCACACTCTTTGACCGTACTACTATGGTTAACGATCTCTGTCTGTGCCTGTTCGGTCTAACGGATTCTCCTCTTCTTTTCACTATGGCTAGGTGTGATACGTGTTGGAACTGGACTGGAAGCGCTCAACGCGAACAAACCTTATGTGTTTCAAGTGATTGCAGAGGACTGCCACCGACCTATCCCTTTGAGTGCTTCAGTGGATGTACAAGTGACACTTCTTAAACAAGGCTGTCAACAAGGCTGGAAAGGTGTGTGTTTGTTTTCATCGCCTATTTTCACTTTTCCTTCACAGTTACTCACTTGAGGCTACAACACTTTATGGGTGTGAGGGTGAATCAGTGGGGCAACCTGACAGGATGCAAAATCTTTTCACCCCAAAACTTGAAATGTAATAGAATATTATGTACTAGTCTAAGTGAAATGAAATCCTGTGAGCTTATGGGATGTTCTAGTTTTTTAATACCGTTTTCCAAGACCTTTACTTACGTATTGTGATTATTGCACTCCATAAGCGCCTGAGTCTAGGTTGTGTATCGAACAAATCATGGCTCAATAATCTTCACAACAAAGAGACGGAATTCTGCTAGATTGTCCCGGTCAAACCAGATGAATTTCCTTGGAGGATTCACGTATGAAGCCTTTGACTTGTCAATGTCTAAATCACCACGCAGCGGAGCGGTGTTTAAAGACGGCAGTCTATTGAGGGCCGGTGTTTAATTGAAAATTATTTATAATTGGCTATTTGTAAAAAAGATTTCGAAGAGCATAATGGTTACATTTCAGCTTTTGTCCGAAATGTTATTCTTAATCTAATGTTTTCAAGAAATTTTGGCTACTTGAAATCTAGTTTTGTTTCGCACATGTTAGTATCCACTGCATATGTCAATCTGTTTAATTTGTTTCATTTAATAATACATATATACATATGCATAAATATATTTGTATGTGTGTAAATAAACCGTACAACGGACAGATTATATGGAGAAGAAGTATGGCATTTTTGTGCTTAATTTTTCGATGCATTCTTCTTTAACTGACAGTATTTTTTCTTCTTTGACCTTTGGTTGTCCTCGATCAAACCAAAAAGAATGCCTAAGATGCTTGGTCAGGAATGCGCGTTACTGTCAAATATTCTTATAGTCCCTTAAACTGAAATAAGTCATCAAACTAAACTAAAACCCTGCGTGATACTGTTCCATCAATGGTAAGTCATTTTAAAAATAGACCAGGTATTTTGCTGAGAAAATATATTGGTTGCTCATTTTCTTACAAGGGAAGGACTGCATTTTTTGTCGAACTTGTGGTGGTAGACCCGCCGTTTTTCTGCGCTATCAGTATTTTTTGTGCCTGGAGTGTTGAGCATAGATTCATGGCAATTGTAAAATGTGATCAAAGTGAACACTCAAGTGCCATAGAGTTTTTTAACTTCCGATAGACGGTATTAAAAATATTCCTTTCGACGGAAAAGGATTCCTATGATATATTAAAAGTAGTTGTTGTAACTGGATTTTTGGACTGCTGCGCATCGAGTGGATTGCGATTAAGTGAAATATGTCCTTTCACTCGGATGATTCTGCTTGCAGTCCTGAATCGTATTCAGGTCCACCAACTAGGTAGGGTAAACAACAAGTCTTAGTTTCAACTTAAGACGTGGAATGTTCAATTGGACCTATTCATGTTAATTTTTTTCGAATTTCATTATGTTGTTATTGTTATTGTTGCTGTGGTAGTGGTGGCGGTGGTAAGCGCATTGTTAAAAAATACGGTAGTTTACTCTCTAAACGACGAAATTCTGCATGAAATTCTACGTTTGCTTTTATAATCGAGGCGTAATCAGTTGAGAAGTACTGATCACCCCCGTTTTCCCTTTTGACGAAAACATTTGTGACTGTATCTCGGCGGATTTTAATCAGACAATGCGTAGTTTCTAACGAAATATGGCTTTCGGTTTATCGTTCCTCGGTCTCCGGCAGCCTAAATTCACGCATTAATACAACATGGATTCTTCCAGCTAACTAAATTCGAAAAAAATGAAAAACATTCAAGGATGGCTTTGATTTAGCTCATTTAAGTTATATTGGTACAGACGGTGTTCGGTGTTGGATGTGGGTCTTACTCTTTGAGAGTTCTTTTATTGCCCCTCTGCAGATTATATGCATTGTATTTGTGGTGGAATCCTTCTGTTTTGGTTTGTGTGTGCTATATCAGGTCGCTCATTAACACAAAGTACGATTTGCATCAATTCAATTGAATACGAACCATGATTCTTAAATTGGTTAAATAGGCATTTTTAAGGCTTCGAAGCGATGAAGTGAAGTTTGTAAATGTAATTGTTGTAGAGTCACATAACGTTACTGTGACCAATGTAAGCATAAGGTGAAATCATTGTATAGATTTTGAGAAGGACATGAATTAGGTATCACCTTTAATGAAGGAAATCAACGATGAAATTACCAAACGTTAATAAAAATGCACTAAGACCGATTACAACTGTATTTGTTTTTTAGATGTCACAGTAGTCAGTAATAAAGTTTACCTGCATAGACATGAACTTATGTATATAATTATTTATATACATATATACGTATACATATATGACAGTTTTGCAAACAACAGTGTTATATTTTTCTGTTGTAGTAGCTCGGTCGTATATCTTGATGATGCTGAATTGTTATTGTCCTTTCAGTTAGTGATGAAACGCTGATAATCTAATTATTAAGCCCATTGAACAATTGGATATATATATATATGGGTTACTTACCATTTTGTTGCATTGGCTAAGATGGCCAGCGTGTGTAACACACTTTGAGCAACTAGCGAAATCATGGAAAAATGATAAACTAAAAGGCGTGAAAAATGTGCACATTTTTCACATTAAAAAGCATCACTCATAGGAACGTTAGTGCAACGCTTTATTCTTGGTTAAACTTATATAAAGTACATTTTGCCTCAGTTCAATCGTTTCAATAGACAGAATGTTGAAAAACTATCCTTACAGCCGCCATAATACCCTAAGAAGAACAGTCTAGAGATGAAAGCGATTCACGTAAACGGATTTGTGAAGGTTGTACTTAATTCTTGTTCTACATGAACGTGCCACTTTGGTGCATTCAGGTAGTTAAGGTGGGTTGTGTGTAGCCACCTATAAGTCACAAAATGCTTGCGTGAGAGCGTGATGCATAGATTTTACGTTCCTTCATTGTGTGCGTTGTTAGTACATTTGAACAAGGTATGCAATTAATGGTGAGCCGATAAACAACTGTCACAATGGATACGCACAAAGTTGTAAGGAATTCCTGTCACTTTTTAAACTGAATGTTATATTAAAGAGTGCATTTTGCATCAGTTGATATTCGAAAGTATATGTTTAGCTTTTCTAGGAGTTTATACTATCGATTAATTTATTTCATACTGAACTCTAATAAATTATGAAACAGTCGACCTTTGTAGATAAAAATAAAAATGATCCTGGGATAAAGCTCTTCTCAACTACAGAACAAGAAATAAGAATTAAATTTTTCGGAAGCATATTACGGGGTTTCATCAGCAGTACAAACACGAGGATCGAACCTTGAAAGGCAAATATACTACCCACTTGATTACAGGGAAGTTGATCCAACTGTCTCACTTTGTCTATTTACTATACGGTACAAGCCATCTTTCGAAGTTTACTACGGGCATCGTACCTCACTCATCTTGGCAATAGCCACGTGATATTTGACTCAGAATCGTTTCGAATATGACTAGTTGTTCCTTTTTATGTTTAATTACATGTACAGTAATGTATACAACGACTTTTCAAGAAGATGCCTCATAAACCAAATTTTCAACGGGTGCGACAGCTGCACTTCCATTCACTGTTGAAGGTGTGTAGTAGGCTATCAGCCACTTAGAACTGATTATACATTATCGCACGAAGTACAAAAATCAGTAAGCATTGTGGAATATTTCTTCTTCTGCCCTACCGATCTGAATTATGGCACACAATGAACTGTGTTTACATATTTCTAAAAAACATTCGCTATACGCTGATGAGATAAAACTACCCCACGGTTATAGGTTTGGCTCCGGACATCGAGTACCGAGGTACATCTGATAGTACTCATCGTTTGTTCTGGCCCGCAAAACCCGTTTTGGAAACTTGCACACGAGATTGCCCGGATCCGACAATACGATTGCAACTGGAGCTCAAATCTGCGGTCGATGGTAATCTGATTCCAACCGCCACTCCACAAGCTTGCTTGCATGATCCGGAACATTTGAACCGACAAAGGAGTCTATGTAGTAAGTCGGAGAGCATGAAAGTGATTATAGGGCGTTCTGAAAAGAAATTTTAAAGAAATTTTACTAATCTTTAAAGGAAAAGACGTAGGGAATGTTGGTTCATGCCTGGAAAACTTCTTTTTCTGTATGCGGGCATTTCTGTATGACGACCAATACCCGTAGCCAAACTATCGGATAAAGACATTTTAGATGAATCTTTCGTTCGTAGTTACGTCATAATGACCGATTTATTTTTATAGGAACAGGACAAAGAAGGATTTTGGTCACAAAATAGAGAAGTTTTGCGAAAGTTATGTTGACCGATGTATAGGCTTTTGAATGACTTGCAGAAGACAGCAAATATTACATTGTCTTTTTTAGGCTTCTCACTATCACATAATGTTTGGTCAGTAGTGAATTATAAAGATAAAGTTTTTACTGGATTCTAAAGACTTTCATTAAAGGTTTGTTTACAATAGTGTATAAGTACTAAGTCTATGCCAGGAATAGAAAAATGATTTACCCAACTTTTTCTTGTTCTGTAAAGTAGCTTCAACTGCACATTATTGCTATTGATCGTCATTGGTATGCTTGCTTGTAGTTCTGGTAGACTACGAGCGTTGCTATCGACGATTGGTACCACCAAGTGTGGTTGGTAGTTTTATGCTGCCTGCTTTTCACGTGTTGCTGCACCGTTCGGTGCGCGTCATGCATTTTCGCTTGGAGACTACTGGTATACTAGAATACAAGTAACGAAACTTGAGAAACTACGCATGCAAGCACAGCCGTTCGTTTCGCTCAGCAGGCGTAACCAACCCTCTCACATACACACGCACACACAAATACCGCACTCAGCGAGATAGACTGATTGCCATTTCACAGCCGTGCCTCATCACGGAGTCCAGTCTTGACACGGGTCGAGTTGTTCTGAGTGCTCATGTTGATTCTACCGGCTTTGATCGATACTATTGGCACGGATCGTCTTACCACACAATCTTCCCATGACCAATCGATGAACCTGGTCCTGGTCCGGCAGCTCATTCACGTCCGCACATCAACACGGTAACAAACATGCACGTGCTCATTCGCAAAGCTCGCGCGCAATGAATTTATACACATGCACAAACAAGCACAGATTTGTGTTGACAAATCCACGCACTCACTCATTCCGACCAACCCACCTGAGGATCGGCATTCGAGTCAGTGGGACGAGTGTGTTCATCTATCTGAAACGCGACTGTATATACACGCACCGANCGCACCGATGTGCGCAAGACGTCACCTGAATTTCGCAATGAAATAAACATGTGATATCCCGGTGGAATGTACGCATACGATTGACCTGACATGAGCATAAAACCGTTTATTTACTAGGAAAGAGAGCAGATTTCCATATTGATTTTTAGTCTGGCACAATTCATTGGATTCACTCTTCTGGTATTGTGATTTGCAGATACCGAACTTTGAAGCTTCCTCCTATCTAGCACGGTAGATCTTTAGTGTTCACTCCACACAAATTTTGCTTGAGTATTTGAATGTTCTCTAAATGAAATTTCTACGCCTGAATCTGTTCTAGTTTCGAGCGTGACAGATATCAAAAGACAAACAACAGCAAACAAGCTTGTTTTCGTAACTTCGTCTTCACGCATTTACAGTTGTGTGTTTATATCTAATGTAGAAATAAATGTGATTGGTCTATTGAGATTAAGTGTGAAAATACACAATGTCTGTCAAGTTCAATCAGAGCGATTGAAGAAATGGGGCAGTGGGCGAAGGGGGTCCAAGGTCAATTCTGGAAATTTCCGATGACCTTTTTCACGTGCAATTTGTCACGCCACGTTGCGTCATCACGACATGATTGAGGTCATGGTTCGGATCATCACGTAGATTTGGTTGGGGCCAAGGCAACTGGAGTGCGGCAACCCATTTCTCCCAGTTGCACAGTAGTGGGTTCATGATTTTGATTGCTACAGCTTCTGCCTTTGCCAAGTGACGTTTCCGAACGTACTTTGATTTGTTTTGGGGAACTCTGTAAACGACTGTAAATGCATCATTGTCTGGCTGGTTTCCGGTATCAGCGAGGTGGGCCATAATCGCACTGGTTATTGTTTTCTTGCAACCCGTGCTAAGCAAAGCCGGTTTATGTTCTGTGATTCTTTGTGATAACTGTCACATCGTTCGTCATACATAACGCGCTGAACATGTGCAAGTGAATGAATATGTAATCATAGATGAGGAGAGGCAGCTCATCCTTGAGGTTTGTACAGAGCTGTAGCCGATATATTATATTATATCATATATTATATGAGAGATACAATATATATATGAAGTAATATTTGGATTCATCCCAAAGAGAGAGAACAAAAGCCGCAAAGTTTTGATAGCGATATTTCGACCCTCTTGGTGAACACTTTTACAGTCAATAAAAGGCAATGATTTTCACATGGTTGGCGTAACTCTGTTTTCTATCGATTGTGTTGCGAACTGAACGGCAAGCCGTTGGATAAAAGTGATGATTCTTCTGAAAGTGGCATTTTGTTTTCTTTTTTCTTTCATTCATTTTATCGAATACAAGATAGTTCTAAACTGTTTCTAGGACGGGCAAGGCGACCATGAGATACAACGAAATGAAAACCTTAGACAACATTATATAATGAATGAAAAAGGATCATACTATTGATTTTTCTAGTCTCCGACTTTCTGGAAAGTATCTTCCGTGTACGCTTAAATAACTTCCCGGACGTGTGATTAGATTTAAGTCAAAAACGTGCAAATATCGACCGTTATAGTTCCGTAATTCTCGGTCAACTCTAAAATATAGCAGAATATCAACCAAGATAAACAAATTTCGCAGGGTGAGAGAGAATCAATCAGAGCCTATAACAAACTGACGGGGAAGTAGTTTGTAGGCTGGAAGAGAAAACCGGGGAAGCTTCGTGATCGAAGAATGGTGAGGGCAGGCGAATGCAGAACAGGGGAAACTGGACCTGGAGACGCAGTAAAGGGTTGTAAAGCCGCATGTCAAAAACTGTGTTCCAGTCAACGCGCAGCACAGGTGGTCCTTGTGAACAGAAACGGCATTGAGAATAAAAGACTTGTTCAGGCGCGGTTGATTGTGTTGATGTACGGCCCGAAACATGGAACCATTTTTGTCAGTGTTGGGGTCCAGAGACTCAAGTCCACTGCACTATTACTGTCCATCAAACAATATATAAACCTTTAGTTGGAAGCGAAGATGTAAGTAATGAGCAATAAATATCATTCTGGTATTTCCGATGAATAAGTGTTTCCATTTTGCAGTTATCTGTTTGTAGTTTAATCTATGCACAGTCCTAGAGTGAACTGCGCTCGTGAAACGCAGGGAATGATATTGTTAAAATCAAAGTTTCACTAATCATGTGTTCACTTGTACGGGCATTGGATAGTGACAAATAGCAACGCCAGTGAATTAGTCCGTGTACTCTTTATGGTTCGTATTTCGAGGGAACCCACATCACACACTGTGATATAAAATACTGATGGAGATTTCCGCAATAAAGTAATCAGTTTGTATGGTGTTATAAGCCTCAAAACCTATGGGCCATAACTAAGTCGTATGTTTGCCACATTACTGATAGCAAAAGAGAAAAAATAAACCGGCAGTGACAAACACTTTTGAGATGTAATTCCTGTCTGCGTTGCGTTTATTTGTGGAACTTGACAGTAAATCAATATTATCTTCAACAGTTGAGCAGTGAAGTGACGCATTTTCTCATTTCTCGAGTGTAAAGGAAAGCATTGATTTTGACGATCTTCAAAGGGTAAACCTAGTTTAATACAGTGCATATTTCAGCTGGATGGCTGTGAAAACTAGGGGGTCTGAATGCATCCAGTGTTCGTTCATCCGTAACCTGGACTTGGTTGACAAATGGGAAAACGACAATACCCTTGCGTGCAACACAGATCTCTGCCTCCATTTCCAGCTTCCTTTTCCATTCTTTATTTCCTTAAACTTCACAAGAATGAAGAAATGATCCACTACGCATAGTTTACACTCTTTTGTTTCGCAAACGACCGAGGATTTGTTTGGATACGGGCCAACCGGTTCAAGCTGTTAGATGTATTTTGTTTGCAGCACCCAAAGCAGATTGTTGTTGTTGTTATTGGCCAGCCGAGGTATGTTTTCTACATNTACATGATAGACAACCCTGAAAACCAAATTATGATTTAGGTTTCAGGTCTGGATGACAAATTTGTTCTCGTAAGCTCAATAAATAAGAGATCTACCGGTGGTCTCTCTCACAGCACTGTTGTACGCAGTTACTAGTTTTCTTCTCCCAGAAGAATGTGGTTATCAAGTAGCTATTGTCAAATCTGGTTTCAGGGAAAATATCTTCACGAGATAACTCTAATGAAGCATCTAATAATAAGACGTTTTTCGTGCAGCACAAATCTTCCCTTCGGTTGACAGTGCTTTGAACATTCACTTTTATACGTAAATGTCTACCCGGAAATCATCTCTAATGAGACCCATTTGCTGGAAATCCTGAGTGGTTCTATTACAAAAAGCTCTGTGTGATGAATCACCAATAAGTAAAGGACTGCGTCGAACCTGTGCAACAAATTGTTTTTTGAATACTGAGTATCTACCTTATGGTAATCTTAGTTGTCATCTATGAGAACAGGTTACGTTTGTGCACCGGTGATAGAATAAGCTGTTTCCTTGATAATGTTTGTTTATTTTAATAACTTTGAGGCAGATGTTCAATTCCGCGCCATGTAATTGTGACTTATGGTGAAGAAAACCCTAATAANTTATCAAATCCCTTTTCGCAGATCGAGAACTTTGGTGTGAGCAGTGCTAGTTTGCAGTTTCACTTTATACAAGTGTTAGCATTGCACTTTCAATTGCAGTAGTAATAAACTTTTTCATACTCTCACACTCCCGCGTGGAATCCACTGCAATTTGACATCCGTGCTCTGTCTTATCAGAAACCAATCCGAGCACCCTGGTCAATTTACTCCCTAATCCCGATCTGGATCTGGCTACCCAACTTGTCCGGCCTAGTCTGGGTAGCACACCTCGAGTGATGGCACCGTCACAAACTATGCGATTTAGTGCATCTTCGTTGTCCGTTTGGGAGCTGGATCCGAAACATTTGTCCACAGAGTCTGGAATTAACGCGTTCGATACTAATTTCACACTTTCGTTTTGGATGCGTCGAAATATGGGACAGACACTCGGGCCTACTGCAACCCCGGAAGATCGTGAGGAGACAGTTATTTGCAGCCAGGATCAAAATAGTATGTGCTAACATGTACAATACTTTTCTATCAAAAAATGCTTTCCTTTGTGACGATCAATTATGTTTTAGGTGCAGCTGTAATAGTAACACTCCGATACAAACAAACAGTCTGTTTCTCAGTAAGATATAGGATTTTACACTGAGCATTATCTAATGGGCAACTTTTGGATGATATGCTAATTATTGTTATTTATTAACCCAAATATGAAAAAGCAAAATGCAGCCATCATTTAAAAAGTGTGGCTATGAAAGCACGCAAATCAAAAATCTGCCGCAAAACGAAAGATAGGTTATTGTTCAGTTTATCGTTCTAGGACAGTGAGAGTAGGGGAAGCCCCTTCCCTCACAGTGATTTGGTTTGTGATTCATGAATTAGTCTTCACCGGTCTGAACACTGAAGTGGCCACCACCGCCGCCACCGACACCAGATGTCCTATGGGATCAGTGTGTTGTTAATAGTGACAGCGACAGAACAAAAATTACCGAACCAAACTGACAGTTGTGAATATCAAACACGTTACCAGACGCAACGATACTTTAATGCACCTAGTTGGCTATGCAGGAGAGTGTGCTCTTTCGAATCCAACATGCGATACGAAGAATAACAGGGTTTTGATTAGAGATCTAGTAGAATTCCATTTCGAAGACCCATATAGATTTTGGATCGACTAGAAATTATGCATCTATACTAGAGACGTAAAATGCTTCCTAAAAGCGGAATGACAAATATCTAAAAGTGAATAATGTATATGTTTTTAAGGTCAAAAACCACAACTACTTGCTGACATTGGGAGTTGAATAATGTGAAAGATGTTTAGCATTAACAAGTTACATTTTACTGCATTTCAAGAGTTATTGACGCGATTCAAATATTATTTTACAACGTCAACATTCACTTTCACAGAAATCGGAATATGAAATTGCCTTACGCGAATCGATTCAAGTTAGGTCAAGTCAAGGAATCGCCTTATACACCTCAATGGGTGGATATTCAGCAATTCGTAGTTTGTAAAAACAACTTATCCTCATCAGTCATTAATATCGAAGCCCTTCGCGATGGCGGTAGCAGTGCTCTGTTAATTCAAAAAATTGTGTTGTCCGCTTTAATTTAGAAGGTTTGTACTCCCACATCGGATCACAGAAGGCACTCACGGCTGAAGAATGCCATTAAGACCAGAAAATTCGTCCAGTGTTTACCATTGTCCCGGCACTCTTCAATGTTTTGTACACATAGTATGGTGCAAACCTGTTGAAATTGCCAGATAAGGTCGAACATTTGTTAGAAATTTGCTTATTACTTACTACCAAATGTAGAATTCTCGTTTTATTCACCCAATTAAGATTGGTGTAGTATTGGGGATACTGAAATTTTAATATTGTTGTTAAATTCAAATTTGTTTAAAATAAACTAGTACGCAGGCAAAGTATTAATATGTAAAAGCACAAAGATAGAATGCTTATAATCTTTATATGCATACTTGATGTCTTTTTCGGTTGATTGGGCAACTTAAGTGGAGCACCATGATCAGACCAATGAGAGAACAACCTCAGAATGCCCGAAACCAAACGTAACTGTTCAGCGTTTTTATTAAAGAAGTAGTTGAATCTTGAACAATGCAGACAGTCGAATAAATGCTCTCATTTAATGATATAGCGAGATAGATCATTTTATTGCAAAAAGTAGAATTCCGTTGAATTGACCATTATCTTTGTGAATCACGAACCTGTTGAACAAGTATAAGTCCTGTTTGTTGTGTCAAACCTATCCTGCCATAGTCAGTAGTATTCAGTTAAAAGCCCAATATTATGTAGTATTGTTATGAAGGTTTTTAATATCTGTTCAGATTATGACGTATTTATTCACCCTTACCATGTTTGTCAACCGTATACTTGCAATAACCCTTAAGTGAAACCGATGAAAACACCAATGTATGAATACATTTGTTGAGACAGGACTTGCCTTCAAAAGCCCTGAATGTCCACTGTATCTCTGTAGAACAAGTGGACTGAAAAAATACATTTGAACCCTAAGTTATGGGCTATAACCTGAAATTGAATCAGTGAATTCCACTCGCACCTCTTCTATTGAAAATAACTCCAGTTGCAAAACTACGATTCAAATTACTGTGGTTTTACCGCATGAATATCATGAACCCGTGTTACAGATCAGCAATAAATAGAGTCAGATTACATAAGCCAATGTGCATAGAGAGCCCGAATGTAACAGACTGTGAGATAAACTGTGAAGAAAAATAACTAGTATGACTAAACTAGGCAACGAAAAGTAGCTTTTCGAATTGATTTCTGAGATAACCAAAGCAATTGACCCCAGTGTCTTTTTGGACCCTAAAGAAGCATTGCAAGCGTTTACAGAATTACAAAAATAGTGCTAAATCTGTGTACTGTCCTGGTAAAAGTTGTTCGATTACCTCTTTTTGTTGCTTACTAGGCTTTCATATCCATACACCGAATGGAATGGAAACGTACTCATGATCCAATAGTGAAAATTTGAAATAATGGAAATATCATTAGCATACTTGCAACATATCGAATGGAATCAAATCGGTACTTTTTAGTACTCATCAATACCTTGTATTTAATCTTCGCTATACATTTGAGATACTGATCATCACTGATTTCAAGGAGCAAAGCAAACTAAACTGTTTAATTTGATTACATGACACAATATCTAAGCTAGAACTACTGTGAAATGAAACAACAACTGTAAAGAGCTTTCGTAATCGGGTCGACATTCATTATCATAATGGATTGCTTAAAACCAGTAACCTTTTTTCCTGATCCATTCCATTCCTCCTCTGAGCATAGTTGCCCGCTGGCGATTTCTGTCTGTCAGTTTTCGTGGATGCCAGCTGATCGTTCGCATGATGGCATCATTCCGTCCGGGTGCAAGTCTAATCGAATCCGAAGCTAGAGGAGCAAGTCAGTGGATATTTGAACCGTTGCCAGAACGTTATTGCTCACCGAATATGCATTCACAAAGCCAGTGGCATCACTATGCGATCACTTTTAGCCGAGCCCCATGGGCTGCGACCACACAGCTTATCAGTCTAATGATTGATGGCCAAGATCCAGGTCTGAACGGTCCGGATGAAATTTTAACCACTCCTATCCCGGCTTACGTTCCGTCAGCACGAAGGGCTGATCCTAGGTGAGTATAAAAGTCGTGATGATTTTTATCGAAACCAATGATATTAAACATGATTAAAACAAAAAGACTAATTGAGATTAATATTATTTGGTGAAAAACGTTTCTTCCATAAATTCTATTGCTTTTTTACCAAAATGTCAACATGCTACTGTAAATCTTTAGTTAATGCGCATACCAAATACAGTTCAACATCTGCAAAGCTGCTTTCCTTCATAAATGCAATGCAAAATGAGGCAATCGAATCGGGAAGGCAAAAGAGGAGAGAAAATTTCATTAACTCATGGAAGACAACTAACCACTCGTCCGGTTCCATTTTAATAAAGAATCGAGGGCTCTTTATGCAAATAAGCACCGGCTGATTGCATTACGAAGAACTTATTGACTAATCTGGGGTACGTTGTTTGTTCTTCCCCATTTGTCTAACGTTTCCCAAGTTCCTCATGGAAATTACTTCACTCAACTTGGAAAATTAATTATACGTTCATCTTTGAAAGTGAGCTGCAGTCAACAGTCAGCTTGCATTATATCGGTCACGTTTCTTGCAGAAATCTATATCAATTTTAGGCAGATAATGATAAATAATAGAAGGAACATATAAATATTGAAAGAAAAAATAAGAATACCCTATTTAAAACAGGAATTGCGTCGTTTAGGCAGGTGGCTTGTGACGAAACAGGTGTGCATCACATTTTGTGGTCGAATATAAAAAATCGGTTAGGCGAGTTGGGAATCTCGTTTCATACTATGTAACAAAATAAAACCAGACTAGTAATCCTGTCGGGTCTTACTTCATCCGCTCAGCTTTGGATGTGTTCGTCATTGCTTGGCAATTTCGCCAAACGGTATTCTGATCACTTTTCCTAGGATGAGTGTTAGCGGTTAACCCCAGAATGAACGCATCAGATCAGAACCAATACACCTTCACGTAATACATGTTGTTCATATAGTAATCAACACCTATCATTGACGGTAATCCGATTCAAGCACTTTATGCTTCAGAACACATATTGCATTCAATTATTCATATGGTACTGATAATCTAAGGGAGCAGTTTAGCAGTACGGAAATTATCCTTTTTGATAGCAAATGGATTACCGTATGCGGTTCGAGAGTGGAAGAAAATAAGAAATAGTTCACTGGTTAAACAATACATATTACAGATCACTATTCACAAACCGAAAAGTTGAATATGACATATCCACAAAGCATTAGACAATGGTCTATAGATTATACCAATCGCATATATTTTAGTTGGGCCCACTACTTTAAATAAGGAAAATATTCTGGTTATGACGAAATACACTAAATATTTGTATTGTAGTGTTCATGAGAATTCACAGGCATCAAGGATTTTGTAAGGTGTTATTTTTATCCATGAAACAACCGCAACTCTCTAAGATCTTTTCTGCAGAACGTCAACTCATAGTATCGTTATGTTTGTTCTCTCTGATCCATATTCAGTTAAATATATTTCAATAATACTGAAATATATATGTGAACTGCATCACGAAATCAACTTGGCAAACTATCTCGTTTTTGATGCACTGAAAGCGAGCTAGATTGCCAAACTGAATTCGTGATTTCAATAATAGTGTTGTGAGGTATTAATCAGTTTTGTGAGTAGTTCGAAAAAGGATGTGATTGGCAGTGTCAACGGTTGAAAATGAATAGAATCTGTTGGAGCGAATCGCTGTGTTCAGTATGGTAACCACAGTAATGTGCGTCCACTGTCTAACTATCCTGTGTGCGTCTTAGAATCCTGAAGACTTGTTCCAATTGAGACATTTTGTTATGTGTATACCAACATACCGATACCTTGACTGTAATTCCTAATAAATAACCATCCTTTTCCGCGCGCCGTCATGTGGATTTATAACAATAGTAGATTATTCACTGATGATCATCACATGCATCTCTATGTATCTGCTTAAGGAAAATGATCAATCGAGTTGATGTAAGTATTCGGAATATGATCCAGCTGACAACAATTTTAATAGTTATAATCTGTTACTTCTTTGTTTTTATTCACATGCATACCGAAGCGGAGGAGGATTTTAAACACAGGATCTCCAGTTATTTCTGATGTTGAATTTTGCAAATCCACCTCGTCCGCTTCTACTATTCAATGCCAATTTTCGTCATTACATTAAAATCACACAAATTCCATGTTTCATTGCCTAGAGTGAGCAGTATAAGTCTCCACACTTGGGTATGATGTCCAGTTTCATACAATGGAAGTAAAAAAAACAGTTAACTCACTGACACAAAAACAGCCATTCCCACATGATAACTTTTATATCCACCGACCAAGATTGTACTTAGTTATCATTTAAATGTATGTAATAACATTTTAAACTCCATTTTATTTCACCACTGGGTCTCTGACTCACTACTGAGTACAGTTAAAAATTCTGGAGAATAGGTAAGGTAGGATGCACTAATATGGATTTCGTCAAGCTATTTTCGGTTGTTATTTACGCTCAGAATTTCAACGACCTTATTAGTATCGGACGACTTTATAATACATTAGTCATTAATTAATTACATAAAACCGAATGATTGAGCTGAAAGCATAACCTGTAATAATATATATCGGAGATAATCTTTTTTGAATTCAGCCACTCGTTTGTCTGGATGCGAATTCATCACACTTCTTAATCCTAAAGTTTTCTCTTTTGTGATAGAAGCTCCCCTACTTCTATCTGATATCAATCTGAATACTACTGGCCATATTGATTAACGTAATACTGCCTGCAGAGGGTCGTCCCGTTCGATCACACTACCTACACCATTTATTATGTGTGATTAGGAATTGCACGAATACCATCTTTTGAGATTTTATTGGCTTTTCAATATCAAATTATCATCTTATTCTGAAAAATATCCTGCGCTTTCAAAGTGACTCAAGTTTGAAAGCATGAAAGTTTCATTTCTGACTTCCTCATCAACTAATGTTTTCCCAAGGCAGGCGGCCAAATCACTTTGTTCTACCAAATTATTAGCAACACAGAAAAAGAAAAGAAATTTCGAGGGGAAAGAAAGTGGATGACCTGAAAAACTAACGATTATTTTTCCGTCAGGTCCTGAACCCAGTTTGCAGTTAAGTAGATTTTTTACCAGTGAAGCATTTTAAAGAAGATAAAATAATTGGTTGTGAAACACGATGTTTTACTGAATAACCAAATAGCCCTTTACCCGCCAACAGTGATGACAGGCAGTATGATAATAGGCTTTATGTGAAACTTGGTTTGAAAACTAAGGTGCCACTACTTAGAAAAATCACTGGTCTGGATGTTTCGGGCTTGTTGAGGTTAAGTAACGATGCGGACTATTTTCGTGCCCTGGGCAGGACTCGAACCGCAGAACGTTTGATTAGAGGTTGAAAGTCTCAGCCCTGAGCTGCACTGTCAACGACTAACCCATGAAGATCACGAATTGATTGTGCCTTGGGTACATATATGTCAATTTCATAAACCATCGAAGTTGCATATTGTATATTATACTTTCACAGATATCTGATCCAGATTGTGCACCAAACAAATCACAGTACGATAATCTTTATAATTAGAAAAGTTTTCATGATCTGTTTGTGGATGGAATGTTGCCAGTTTACCCAGGCTGAGACAATTGAATTTTCTTGGGGAAAGCACAACCGGAGCCCTCGGCTAGCTAAAACCTGATCAACAAGGCAAACGGGTGGTATGTGAAAACCGTAATCCCATTTTTGCCAGTGTCTAGTTCGTCGGATCACTCACCTTCAGGACGGGGTTAAACATCCAATGTAACTCAGTAACCAATAAAGCCACTGAACGCCGCCATAATCAGGAATGTGTGGGTATCTTTGGTTTGTACGTCTCTTCCTGTTTGGAATCATGGATTTTAGCCAGCCACCCTAGGTGAACTACTAGTTATTAACTGACCTTGTTATAGCCTTGACTTTTCGTCCTCCCAATTTGGTGGAAAAACCCCGCCACAGGAAGGCAGTGAGCAGGACTTCCTCAGCCAAGACTATTTGAAGCGCTTGCTCATATAGATGTCTCTTTTGAAGTGCAAAGGAAGGGTGACGCGCAACAACCAGAGAGACCCACCCTCAAGCACACTGACGGTTTCGGAGGCGGGTTTTGCATAGCATTGTTATGGTGTTTTTGTATTTTAGAATTCATGAATTACTCACAACATATTAAATTCATTTAGCCATGGGCATTGCATATGTAGTGAACGAACGAACTGGTGTGAACTCTCGAAGACTGTATTAAATTGAGCATGAAACTTTACAAATGCCTCTTTGATTCACTTTGACGATTCGCTTTCCATCATTCAATTTAATTGGTTCTGCATGTCACGATGGCCTGAATATGATATCATAAAAGCCGTTAAATACAGTGACTGGAAGATAAACTGACCCGTAATATTTGCAAAAACTAGGCTTTCAGTTCCTCTGTTATGCATTTGTTTTGGTTAAACCAAGATACTTAAGCCCTACAACGAAGAAAGTACCTTATTCAACAGGTAATTACTTTACAAAAGCAGGTAATCACAGGAATGACTTATTTAGAGATATGAGATCATTCATTAGAGAGAGGACCAGAATCCCGCAGTTTGTGGCTGTGTCCTCATACTTGACAGAAGGAGATGGATTGTCCTTATCAGCAGCTGATCAAAGGATGATAAAGGCTCCTTATTGTATACCATATTTTTTGTTTCAGAATAACCGTTGGTGCGTGTTTTGATCCAGAAACTCACCTCACCCGACAACATTTGAATGCCGAACTAACCGGAATGACGCTGCTTTTTGATGAAGTCGAATCACCAAGCATACTCCGCTGCATGGCCCAGTGCGGTGAATCATTGTTCGTACCGAACGTGCTCAAAGTTAGTTATCAATTGGGATTGATATAGAAGATCTCACTTGCTCCGTGTTTTATTCAAGGCACTTAAGTTGTTTATGCTCTGAAATCATCAAATTATTTCATATCAAAATGAGCTTGTATAGTTTAAACGAAATGTAAAGGAAGATGAAATTAGACCGGGTGCAAAACGGTGGAAAGTGCATCGTAAAACGTATATTAGGTTTTTATTGTGTGCATTTGGCATTATTTGCCTTAATGACAACATATCTGTACAGCCCACATGGATTCCAATGTTTAACAACTGGGGTTTTATAAAAAGAACTCAATACTATATACACAAATGATGACACTGCCATCGTTTGAAAAAGCTGCATTGGTTTATTCGAGAAAGATAAACCAACCGCACAAGTATGATGGTTTTGAATGAAGATATTTAATCAATTTACGACACGAGCGAACAGATCTAATACCAGTCATAAGTAATGTAAACAAAGAGCGTGCTAGTAACAGGTTCCTCGGGTTGAACGTTCGCAATGCTCAAACATATTACATAAGTTAAAAATAGGAAAGAAAACAGTTCTTGAGTTGCATTCACTAGCACTTTAGAAAAGGATTATAATAAAAGAAACTAAAGCGAAACTTCCTGAATGTTTACATTAAATGCTTAGTTTTAGGTGTGTGGGTTTACCTTGCACGTATTCATCTGTTTTAGGTGTAATTTCATTTTCTTCAGCAAAAGTGGCGTTTTCATCTCACGTTCGACTACTCTGTTTTATTTGTTGTTTCGTGCATGAGACTTATCTTAAAACTCTTCTCTGTACTGTTCCACTCACTGTCTCTATTCACATTTGTAATAAAAATACCAAAAAGTAATACTAACACAATATTTCTTCACAGTACCTACTTGCTGATATCAACGTGACATTGGGAAGTGACGTAATTACCATCACTGGACAGAATATTTCTCATGTGACAGATATGCTCACTGCAATAATGTACATCCGCCCGCAACCCGGAATTAGCAACGGATATACCACTACTGTGGCACAATCTCGAAAATTGGAGCTGAAAACGTGGTACCAGTAAGTTTCGTTTACGACTTTTGCTATTATACAACCGATCCTCGATCGACAATTAATTCATGAACAACTTCATTGAATCGTTTTATTTCGCTTCAGAGTGAATCACCACGGAAAGTCCGAGCTAATGTTGAAAATTAAGTAAACCTACGGTTTAACGTAGGCATAAAATGAATTCCTTATTGATCGATTAGTGACCAGTCGTGTAAAATTAATTCACTGGGTTACCATAAATACGTTGAATAGTTCACGCGTTTGCATTTACATGCCACTAACAGAAAACCAGTAAAAATACAACATGTTCCAACTGAATGAAAACTGAATCAAGTTCAGACTAGGATGATTCAAATTTCAGCGAATACATTCACATGGCTCGACGCAGATAAAAGACCCAGTATGTCAGCTTCGTTTTTCCATTAATCCAAAGCAGCTCATTGAAAAATGATGACCATAAGGTCTTCTCCAATTTCCCTTCTCACTATCACCATTAGGTGTCCCAATGAGATGGCTATTTCTTTGCCAGTCACAGTTATCAGTTTGAATGTGCTCCCGGAAGAGCGTGAAGGTGACCACCGAGTTGAATCTTCGCATCCTCTGGATGCAAATGATGCTGGGTCTGTATGGCTTCCGGAGGATGAAAGCCAATTCAATCGACCGTCTGCTGCAGCTGCGGAGATGGAACGTAAGGCAAAGGAACAACAGTTGAGTCGTTCCACAGTACCGACTCTTCGCATTTCCGGACCAAATGTGATAGTTGCTGATCCGTCAACCATAGGACCGGGCATACCTCTGTTTGCTGATGTCAAATTCAAGCTTTGGGACAGAGGTAATCAGATACACATAGCAGTTCATCCAAAAAAACATATACTCGATTGTGCAATTTTTTTCGTCTCCAATTCTTTTTATTTTCTCAGTGTGTTCCAAGTAAGCTTTCACCGATTGGTGTGATCGTATGTCAGCGAAACAAGAAGCTCTGTAGAATATATTTACATCCGTTTCATCATTGTTGCTAAGTTGGAGTACTGTCAAAATTTACATATCGAAATGCGAAAATTGGTGTAAAATCTGGGATAATAACCAGAAAAATACAATGACCAACTAAACTTACAGGATGATGTTCATTAGTGTTTATAACATGGTATATACCTCATTGTTGTGCAGTTTTGTCCGTGATACTTGATCCTTCAATGTTGAAATAAATACCATTCAACACAGCCCCGGTTCTGATCAAGCAGTTTAGACTAGCCTGTTTATTGGTCTCATCTGTCGAGAAATGAGTGTTTATTTCTGTACTGCAGGTTGTCTTGGTTACGTCAACTATGTGCCATAGAGAGAATGAGTCACGTAATATAATGTTTGCTTGGCATTCTTCCAGTGAGGTACGAGGGTGTGAGATAAAACAGGAAGGAAATCAAAGTGAATTGTTTTGGCAAACAGATCGCGAGCTAGCGGTAAATCATTGCGATGTACATAGTAGTTGGTTTTACCAAAAGTATTATCAAACATTTTATTTCTCTTTTGTGAGCTTAACTCATTGTTTTCTCATCTACTTTCTATATTCAGTCCTTAATCATCCTCCATATTTAAATTTACTTCTTGAACTGGTCTACTTAGTGCTATGTGTTTCACCAACCCCATTCGTATGTTACACGCACTGGACACTATGTATGCTTTCTTGTTTTGTGGCTGAGTTACACTTCTTGGGAGACTAATAAACCCATAAATCTGAAATACAGTAATATGCGTCAAATTCTTAGGAAGTCTATGAGATAGAACACAGAACAACTGCTTTCTACTTGATTGGGACTCATCATCAGCGCGTGCTTCATTTCTTTGCTAGGATGTAAACCGCGAACCCTTGATTTGGGAACTAAAGGTCCTGTTTATTAATTATATATTTAAAATTATTCTGAAATAACGGAAGCATGTATTCACTTAAATAATATTTTAACAGGCCTACAACGTTTATTGTTATGATGTGTTCACTCTATTTAATAACAAATTGTAATCGATCATCTAACTTGCTCTTCCAAACATTTTGGCGAATAAATCGGACAAAATCTTCTCCAGAAAGTTTGCATTATGTTATATATGGTAATTTGAACGCGTCAGACTCAATATGTTTGATCTTTGCAGACGTTTAACTTAACTTGCGTGGCCCAAAAAATGCCTCAACGGTAAAATTCATTAATGTTGCAATTTTCGCACGTGTATTTTATCAAAGGAGTTTAGATTGCTTAGCAATGTCGAAAGTAGATTAAGCTAGTTCAGATAATTTGGAGGGCTGAAAATTTACTGTATTCCATTTTTTCTGTTCCTCATTATGTTAGCTATCTCAGATTTATATTCATTTAAACGTCTCTTTTTGTTATGAAGCAAGATTTATATAGTTTTGCGGCAAGATCACGCCATTTACCGTCCCTCTTTGGCGCTCCTATGGCTTTTGCTTTTACAATTTCCATTCCAGGTTTGACAAAAGGCTCTGCAGAAACTGTAGCCGCCTCAGTTCCACTGGACAGTTGTAATATATGGCTTGTGTCATCTGGAGATCCCAATCAACCTGTTTTAGGTCCAAGATTCCACACAGATCAAGGTGAGCGTATTGAATGGCCAGAAGCAATGATTCGAAAAAATGGATTTTACGGTCGCAAGAATGAACGCGGAGTAGAACTACAGGGTCGCAAACCAGCTGGAGAGTATGCTCGACTACTGAGAGAATTTCGTTACTGGCCACCATCCACGCTCAGTTCAAAACTATCGACCATATCGCAGTCAAAACGTGCAGAAAAATCGGAAAATGAAGTAAACTACATGGCCAATGTGGAGCTTGTTTGCACCTTAGATGCCGGAAATCAACACACTTCGGAATTTATAGTCAAGGTATGTGCATATTTCATAGATCGATGGTAATTATGAATTTTGACAATTTTTCGAATCGCTCCAATTGAGCAACCTGCGCAGCAACATCATTAAGGAACACCAATTTTGACAGTCAGTTTCAACAAACGTTACATTACTTTCCATATTTAGGTTTATTGATATTAAGGACTGAAACTTGTTCTTCGTATTTGTCTGGTTAAATAATGAACTCTAATTCGTTGATATTTCCGTGTGGCTTCAGGAATCGAAATATGAAGGACATAATTACTAATTATAAACCTTCGTTTTACGCATCTGAAAAATGCTGAACGCGATTTACATACTTTTGCGCAATTTTATAATGATTTGACCATGGATTTGAGTAAATAAGATTGAACTAATCGTGTAAGGATCGACTGTCAAATACCACAGAATGCTCAAATTCGAAAGGTCTCGTTTGATATCACAAATAGGTGCTCACGTAATAGAACGCTGTGATAACAATATGATAGTTTTTTCTCTGTGTTAACCATTTGGAAGACGTTTCTATCTAAATAGGGCGCCAGCTATCCCATAATCTATAGTCATTCCTGGTACAAAACCATGTAGATCCAGCACCCCATCCAGACGTTTTCGTCCCATTAATCTAACATCATGTGGTCTTAAATTGGCAGAATGTGCTAGTCTCAAACGTCAGTATGCCTCTTCCATTACCCAACGAAAACCCTTTCTCAAAGTAGGTCCACTTTAGATGCTCTCGCCTCCCTTATTTCTTCGTTATCAAATTCTCAGACGCATCAGCAAAATCCGTAAGATTTGTTTTCTTAGATGTTTCATCGGCGTTTGACTCTGTTCTTTGTTCCATTCTTCTTCGTAAAATGGAATCTTTTGGCTGTCCCAAACACTTATTGACGCGGCTCGTTAACCACTTTGCAAGCAGAACTCGGCATTCTCGGCTGGGTACGAAATTTTCTAAACCGCTCGTGAACGATTTGGGAGCAGCACTACTTCCGTTCTTATTTTTCACCTACATCAGTGACCTATTAGCGAGTTCTCCAGCCCAATTATTTGGAAATGCTGACAACATACTCTCTTGCCAAGCCATTTCTGCGCCTCAGGATCTTCAAACTTATTCCAGCAATTTATCTTATATCCATGAATTTTCCGTTCATTCTGGACTGTCATAATTTATCCACTGTGCTTCCAATGTACTCTTACTCTCTCTCTCTCTCTTGTTTTGTTTATCCCCGTGACCCCTCGATCATAAATCCAGATGCCTTAATTAGAGTAAATTCCGTGAAGTATTTAGGAGTCACAGTTGATGCACTCCAAGTGGCCATCCCATAGTTACAACTGTGTACAGAAACTTCCGGGATTATCGTTTTAGCTTCAAAGACTTAGGCAGTTCAATGTCAAACAAAAAGCATTTCACTTTTTGTTTATCAATGTTTTCTCCTGTTCCTCTTTATTGTTCCCCGGTAGTTAAGAAAGACTTCAAAATTCTTCTTTGTGGTTTATCGATTATCATTTGTGTCTTTTATACTCGTGGATGATCTACCTAAAAGCTGTGTGAACTTCAATTGTCCACATGTGAAACACTTGCAGAGAAAATTCTTTCTGAACCAACTCATCCTTTACATGGCGATCTATCCAAATACCGCTCCCAATCATCTACGTGTTCTGCATATATCTTAATAACCTCTGGCATCAACTTCCACAGAGAATCTACAGTTCCGTATCCCGCTAGGCTCCTTGTGAACCGAAAGCGCGTTTCTTCTGAATTTGTCAGCAACCTTGCGGGTTAAATGTTTTGTTTGTATTATTTCCTTCTTTCGATGAAATGTGCATTTTTTTTTATAAAAATGCAGTTATCCGTTCACGCAAACGTCTACACAAATACAAATACAAATGACCAGCATAATATGGGCAGAAAAATCGAACTTTTGATATATTTGTCGAAGAAAATTGATAATAGACTGTTATTTAGTTCATATATTTGATCGAATTTGGATTTTAATGATTTTAAGAAGTATTATCACTAAAGGTGGTAAGGTCACTAAATTATCACCCCGGGGATGCGTGTTCGAGTCCCACCATCACCGCCTGACTTTCCCTATTGTGTGTTGAATGGCAGCCCTTTGATTGGCCGCTTCCCCCTTCCTGGAAATTGTATCTTTGTGTATTTAATAGAAGTGAAAAGAAAAAGAAAGGAAAGGAAAGAAAATAGATTAATTCGGTATTTCGAACGAATTACAATGCCACAGCAAATTTAAAATGGTTCAAACAATTAGTTTATCCTCATTCCATGATTGAGATTCTCGGGGTGCCTATCTGTTTGCGATCTGTAACCTGGTAATCACGCGATACGGTTGGTGTGTCAATCTACACATCGGATCTATTTCGTTTTACCAAATTATTCTAATGGAATGCATTTTGTATCATAGATTTTGATTCCGAACATGGACAGTAGACCGCAAGATCGATTGGATAAGAAACAAGTGGATGGGTATGTCGCACTTTCGGACGGCGTGGAAAGTGTGAACTACGGACAGTCAGATCGGGAACGGCGTCAGTTATCCGGCGATGAAAAGCTTATCCGTGTCAACCATGAGGATGCTGCACCTTCAGACGCTTTGAGCAAACAGGTAAGAAGTGGGAATGAAGGCTGATCGAAATAATCGATATTTTATTCTTAACTACGTGTTGTAGTGCTTCTGTGCTTTCAATCAACGAAAGTTAGTAAAGTCACTAATTATTTACAATTCAGTATCGGGCTTATAATGGTGAAAACAAGCTTCTTCTATTCAACTATGGAAAGCGTTCGTTCGCGGAAGATGTGAGGCATCTTCAAAGCTCTCGGTGTGCCTTCAAGTTAGCCTTTGATATTATTTAATTTTCTAATCCATTTGAGATTGACCATATTCCATGCTCTGGTAAATAAAATTTTATTCAGTTCCACTTTTTCCAAGATTTTGAAGTCTGCTTTTTGAGTTCGCTAGTGTTTGAAATATTTTACGGTTAGAGAAAAAACAGCTCTCTGGTGCTAATTGTGTTCACCAACTATTCAGTCATTTATAATTTCTATTCACCTCTCTATCGTTATATTTTCAGCTACAGTATGCGCTTCTCCCCAGCAATTCACCGTTCAAGATAAACTTCATCGAATTTTTGTACCGAAGCAATGACTCGTCATTGATTAGAAGCTGCAACCACAGGTTACTGATTGGGTTTCACTATTCTTCTTATCATATCTTTTTCTGTCAAACCAATTCAACCATCTGTTGTTCTTCTCACACTTTCAATCTCTTCTCCTGTCACATATGCACACATATTTGGCTTCGTTCTACAGCACTTATTTATACAGCGAACCAGACACAACTATTTATCAGTTGTGTTTTGCTCAAAGTTATTCTTGTGCTCATGTGAAAATCCTATCTGCCCTACCGCGTTGTATTCTTCATTCAGTCAATCACAGCGGTGTAGCATACACTTCAGCACTTTACCTGGAGTCCTATGCTCTGGTTGCCTACAATCAGCTCATGGAACAAATAGGTTACAAAGCAACTATTGCCCAATCCTCCTTAAACATTAGCTTTGCTTCTATTTGCGACGCTCAATCCAAGAATAATGCATCGAATGTTACTGGAAACAGATTATGAGTAATCTTTCGACAAAAGATAAGATTTAATTCCTGAAAGCGAATTTTTATTTTAGTTATCGTTGTTTGCACCATTTTTATCTAATTCAGCTGAACCTATGAATGGCTACTGAGTTGGTGAATTAAACTTTAAGTAACTGCTAAGCTGGAATGCATATGCAGTGTTACATATTTGTGGTAAGAAGAAGGGCTACGAATACGCCAAAGAAAAACAATTATCGTTTACGTAAGTTGTAATTGTAAAAAAACAGCGATATCGGTATAGGTGAAAATAAGCCGACGTTTTGGTTACCGTGGGTAACCTTTATCAAAGTGATTTCACAATCGAAAAAAAATATTCTTCCCTAAAATAGAGGCAATGGAGTTTAGTTAAATAAAAGAAAACATGCTGGAGAAGGCCTAAATTCAACGAACGTTTAAAAAACGACCTTGACCATTCACAAAGTGTACAATTTCGGTAAACTATGCCGATGCTTGATTGAATTCCTAACTGAGCGTGGCCACTTGTATTTAGTGTGCTCTATCATCCAAACCGTGAGACCACACCGGCAGTTTAGACCTTTTAGCATTTGTTTATCCGCTCAATTCATTGGTTAAAATGAACAGTATAATTTGCATAAAAATAGAATTCCTTGACAAGGTTTCTATGCAGTCAACTGAACTTCATCCACTGGTCACGACGTTGATCACATTATTCAGTTTTCCCGGTTTCAACGGGGGGGGGCGGATGTCTTCAAACTGACTTCTCCACAGGACATTCACCCAATTTGACCAATAATGCGATATGAACAACCAAATTTTATTTCCTTCAAAGATTTATCAAATATACCTAATAATAATAGCAGACAATCTGGGTCTAAGAACAACGATGGTGTTTGATGGAAGAAACATCCGGTGAAGCATGGCGCAACGCAAAGGGAAATATCATAAAGCGTCAGACTATTTGTGAACAACTGAATAATCCGGTTAATTTAACTGAAATAACTTATAGTTTCAGGTTTCAAATCGTTCGAGATATTGATATTTTTTTGTGATATCATTTTGACGCTCAAATTATGATGCATTCATGCATTTTGATTGTTGAATTATTTCGTTTATCTTATACATTCATCTTCATTTTCACGTCAGCTGTATCATTCACTTGTTTTGATTAACCTTGTCAAATTGAGCTACACTGGCAAANAAACCAGATGCAAACCTGTCAGACTTCAGGTGTTTTCACCACTCCGACCATGAACTGGCATAGTGACGAGCAAATTAAATCAGTTTGAGTTTCAACTTGATTGCTTAATGTTTACAGGCAACTAATACTTCCTGACAAGTGTAAAAAGTGCAGTATATAACGAGGTGCTGCGAATGACCTCGCCAAACTACCCAGTTAGGCCTGCTGAACTGTCAATTAGAAGACAAATTACTGTTCGAGGTTTGCACGATCAAACTACAATTAGTATAATTATCTAGCTTATATAGAATGCATAGATTATGTGAGCTGAATGACGACGTTACATGCGGCACTGCCTTGGTTAGTTAAACTAAAAATTAATTTTAAAATATTGTTTGATTGGACCCATTTGATTTTTGCGCATGCACGTGCACTGTGTATGGTCATTGTGGGTGTATTTCGCTCGGTTCTTTTTTTCGGCGATCATTGATTAGTCTATATCGCAGTTAACATGAAACTGTAACTGTTTGATTTATTTGAGTAAAGAGGAATTATTTGCTATTCCTTTGGAGTAAGCTAAATATTTTGGCACGAAACTCCAGATCGGTATGCAATAGGACCGTACATTTTCATAACGAGAGAACCGTAGTGATTGATGGAATTTCGTCTGTCTGCTATTCTTTACGGATTTTACAGATATTGAACTGCATGAAAACACTGCGGAGAATGAAAACCAATTACCTTATTTTTTTCATTTAACTTTGCTTAAATAGCAATGGTTATTCTGTGTTGTTTAGAGTGATGGAACGGGATTCTCATTATTTTGATTCTACTAAAACAGTTGTATTGGAATATAGCAGCCTTTTGAAGGTCTTGCTTGTAGCAAAGTTGTCCATGGTCGATCAAGGACACCAGTTATCTGATTAACCCTTGTTGAGACCCGTCAACAGGGCATACATATATGGCGAAACTAATACACCTGCCTTAAAGTATCTAAGTTCTCATAGACTAAAACGAGAACACACGTCTTCATATCGGTATAGGTCTTTTGGAAAACAATGAATGATACAAGCGTTATCTCAAATAGCCGACCATTTCCTTTGTTTTTAACCAATTTCTGGTTCTCGGTATTTTTACTGCTTTCTGACAGCAACACTTAGAATTAATTTTTCATTTGAATATTGTGTTTTGGTTATAGAAAAGTATTGTCTCAAACTTTTGTTTGCTTGAAAGCCATAATGAGCAGCAGTCAACGTTATCGCAGTCCACTAATTGCATTTTATCTGGTGTGGAACAACAGATTGACCTCGTATGTGCTTCCATTTATCCCGTTCTGTGATCAGAATCAGTCTATCCGTCCCGGTAAGGGTCATATCGCTGGCATTGTTATCAGTTCGTTAATTATTGTGATCGTTTTGGTCGCTGTGGCGTTATTGTTTGTGTACAAACGGGATCGTGTACACCGTAAACTAACTCGCGTTGGTCGACGGCCTCGTGTGCCAGAGTTTCCCGCCGATTTCGGAGGCTCTAGTCTCAAACGCGACCCAACGTTGCGACTTACGGCCAATCCAGTCGGGGAAATGGACGTAAGTTCTTGGGTATAAGTGTGTATCACAGAACGCCCCGATTAACTTTGCACCCTTGTTAAACAAGATCTAAATTTTTATCCACAAATTCCTTGTTTTTGCTTCATATGCTCAAATTGGTATTAAGGCTACACTTATACTTTTTTCGACAAATCAATCTGATCGGACCAATTGCCTAGTTTACAAATAGGATCAACCAAAAACAGAGTTTTACCGTCCTTCTACGAACTTTGGTTTATTTTTGGTTACATAATTGTATAAACCTTGATTTCATTGAAACGTTGCACTTCGTGAAAAATTGTCATTCATCTATATGGGACTCAGCTATGGTGGAAAAACTAGCACATCTAGGAGTTTTACTTTATACGGTACAAAAGTTCCAATGATTATAAAGCTGCAAGGTGAAAGTGTCGGATCTTAAAAAATCAACTGTATCCTCAGGAATGTTTGATTCGAAGTAAGCAAAACCCGAATTTGTGATTGCACAAAACTCCTTAGAAAATACGTTTGTAAATCGCATTAGCGTTAAAATAAATTGATAGCACAAACGCTGACGTAAAAGATTTATTATGATTCTGCTGGACAGTCACATTGATGTGTCCAACAGCGATGCAGCGGCGCAGCGGGCTGCACCGATGAAACAGTAAATTAGATTCCATTGAATAGAAAAAGAGAGCTTCATCCGGTAAAGGGTGAACAGATAAGTTACTCTTTTTTTATTCTGATTACACATTCTCAATGATAGAAAGGAAGCGGACTTCTGCATTTCGTAGAATGTTGCGTTCACCTAACTATCGGTCTGTGTTGCTCGTCAGATACCACTCACAAAAGTTATTCATATTCTAGGGCGTAGAGATTGATTGGAACGATATCAACGCAATCAGAGGATACATGATTAGGAGGGGATTTTTTGCCAATCTTTTCTCACAGCAGACTGCCTCTCGTCACAGTATTTTCCCTATGTATTCCGTAAGACGTTCAGGTCTAAGATTATGTATAATACCTCTAGTTTCCTTTACACAACAGAATAATTCAAGTTTTATTGATCATGAATTTTTACTTATCACAAAATATACAAATGGAAGTCCAATTACAATGAAAGCTTTGATGAATGTTTAGCCAGCAAGCGTAATTGCAAAATCGCACTCGTTTTCCTGTAATGCATTAAATTTAGTTGCAATGGTTTGTGAGCTGATCAGTTTCGCATTCCTGTTAGAGTTTAATCAAGCTACAGCTTCTTGTGGGATTGGTTTATATTTGTCATACGGCCTAGAAATAGAAAGCACTTATGCAGAAATCATTTTGACATAACACTATTTTCAGTTAGATAATTTTTATTTTCTGAAGATAACATCACATTGGTACTTAAGTGTCTAAATATTTCCTGAAACAAACCAAAAATACCTGCTCTATAAAAACGGCTTGTACCTACATTGGCATTTTCTAGCAAAAGGAACTTGTGCAAATTTTTCTAGTTTAAACAATTACAGGTTCTGTCCAAATTGGACTTTGAAAAACGATTCTCCTCAATCAAGCAGTAAAATAATATCCCTTGGAATTTTACCTAAAATGAAAGTAATTTCTGATATTACAATGACCGACTGCCCGCAATTCCACATAGATTGAAATTTGGTATTTCAGTAGATTTTGTGGTGTACAGCGCTAACGAAACGTGAACAGAAAATCTAGGAAGCTCTAGACAGCTAATTAATCAGCAGTTGTTTTTCACGATATTTTATTGATTTCTACTGATAGTACTACGGTATTGGGACTCTCAGTGAGAATATTCATGGATCGACTCGAGTACTGGCTCCGAAGCAGTATATTTTCTCCCCTCCAACAACAAGAAGAGAAAACAGAAACAGTTGTTCCTCAGGCAGCGCTCATCTTGCCGGACTTGAAGAATTCGATGAAGAATACACGGGCCCTATAAGTGAAGGCCCGGCTGAATCGGACGGAAATGATGATTTGGGTCAAGATACAAACTCTCAGTTCCAAAATTACAGTGAAGATCAAGAAGGGGACGGCGCCAGCGACTTCTCTCCACCGAACGAATATGGAGCCGATATTTGTGATTGGATTGACGATGACCTGGAAAATCAGGAGTTGATGGAGAATGACCAAAACCAGCCAGAAGAACCCAAATGGAATTTGGTCGCAAAAGGTCCGGAGTCCGACTTCGGACCACCTGCCGTTGATTTATGAGTGAATGTCGACACATTCTAGCGAAAAATCTAGTTATGTGCGCATGAATGGATAAAATCTGATACGTTTCGCTTTGGTATCTGCTTCTATAACGTCATTTATGATATGCTCATCGCTACCTTGTGTTATTCTATGAAACTTGAGTTCTACGGGATCCAGTTTCACCTAGGCAAAGCAAAACATCTTCTGATTGTATGTCATATATGAGTATAGATATCTATATAAATCATTCTTCATAAAGCCTCGCTTGCTTATGACTCCAAACGGCATTCTCCTACGCACATATCTCGTATCTCATACAATATTCAACGATCAAAAGTCCATTTTCATTTGCCCTTGTTTTCTTACTCATTCCATTCTTCCACGAAACTATAGTGATTTATTCGCATAACTAAGATTGACCAATTGCGAAACTAATCAACGCCAAACCTCCTTGTTTTCGCGCTCACCCACTCACTCTCTCTCACTGACTGTACATCGTGTGGTTCGTGCATGAGTTGAACACAGCATTTTTAACTTTTATCTCTTTTTCTGTCTATCTTTTAGCGCTTATGTTCCCACACAAGTGTTTGACTATGAATGAGATACTTTGTCAAACTCGGTTAGTCTATAAAAATCTATATATACATGTAATTATCAATTTGATTATATCTTTTGAGTATTAGTAAATGACTTTATACATTTTATTCGTGCTATTCCCAAAGAACTTTAAAACTAATAGGACTGAAACATCATCCAAAAATGAAATTAAAATCTGTTAAATATGTCAAACATTCTTACAACCCAACGAACAGTTTTATTTTTTTCCCAGATGTATTCATATAACGGAGCAAGTTATAGTTACAGTTAATGTAACCGATTAATGAGATCAATCTAATCGTTCACCTCACCTCTCTGTCTCACCGTTTAGGTATAACAGCATAACCTATGTTATGTAGATGGGAGTAAACTAGAGGACAAGTCAATTATTGGGAAGAACACTTAGAAACAGACTGCTTTTACTTGAGTGATCAAATTATTATGTTGATCTGAGAGTACAAAGAGTTTACAGATTTTATGGCAGAAATAGACGAAATAAAACAATACAATTGATAGTAATGTTCTCCGTAAAATTTATCACTTTGCATTAGAAACAAGGAAAATTATTATCAATATGCTCATTTACATCAAGTTAAAAATAAAATCACTGTGAATACGGAATGGAAGTGAGATTTGAAGGTCATAAAAGCAAATTGGTATCAGACAGTGCGATGCTTATGACTGATTGACTGTCTCTAAAGATCATAGATAAACAAATGTGAATTGGTGATTCCGGTCATCCTCTGCATGAGTGGATTTTCCAACAGTGATGACGCACACACACACCTTCAGTTCAAGTACTTTGGAGTATGAAACGCCAGACGGTCCCGATAAATGTGAATCGATATCGAGAACCAAACTGTAGAGCTTAGCGCTTTCTGAGTATAAGTTTGACTGTAGAAACTGAAGTTTATGATTGCAGTTCATTTCCAACAAAGAAAAAATGCATACAAATTGAAAGAAAGTTTGGTTTAGCAACCCACCCTAATTTCACTGATAAAAATGAACAATACATCGTTTACTAATGATATCATTCTGTGAATAAAAAGGAAAACGATAATTAAAGAGTTTATGGTCACGGTTTAATTAGTTAATTTATCTGATTTCAGCGGCTCAAAATGTTGTGATCACGTTTGCACAAATACCGCGTTATTTTGTAGTGAATTTCTTTGTGCACGGTGCAAGCGATGCTTCGACTGGAACTCTTTTTCGATCTGGTTGAGCTTCATAAGCATCGCATTGTAGTTGCCCAATTGAGCATTGACCTTGGACTATACAGATAACCACTGAGCCACAGGGAAGCTGATCAGACAGACGAAATGCACCATAAAGTCGAAACACACTTTACAATACCTTCATGTAACAAGTAGTCAGGTTTTGGATGCTCCCAACTGAGTCATTATCCCAATGGCTTGTGGTGAATTGAGCAATGTCTGATACTCCCAACAGACTTTCAAAGATAGATTGTGCTCTACCGTGCATACATAAAATGAGAAACCGGTTGGATCAGCTGCCCAGTGGTCAAGTGGATGGTTTGCTTGGGAGGTCCTGGTTCCAATCCTCACTTGGGTCAATGGATTCATATTTTTGTTGAGACTCAACCAGGTCGAAACTGCTTTTCAGTTGACTCTTCATCTGGTCTGCACAACTNAAGATTAGCCGATTATAATTGTAGGATCTTCCTTAAAGATCGAAACGTTTTCATCATCGTCTTGTTTTGTTTTTTTTAGCGGTGGCTCAATCGTGTAAATTAAGTCGAATATGAAACATCTTCCAAAATCACTGATTTTCACCCATTCGACACAATTTCATATTAATTAGATTCAGACCTAGTAAAAATTTGGATAAATGGGTTTGCCCACGGAAACGAGAGATTTAAAATAACGTATAGGAATTATGCCATCCAGTTGTGGAAGTGTACGCTTGTTTCTTGGTTGGACTGCTATGCTACCTCCCAAAAGACTTAAATGGCTTTTTCGTATATTCAGAATCTATTTTGCCTGAGTTACAAGGATATTATGTTTTAGAATATTTCATTTAAATCACTCTCAATGGTTGTTCACCCTGAAGTCCTAAAGTCAACCAGAATGACTAGGTTGCATCAGCTGAGCTTTTGGGACGAAACTAAAATGTTCCATTGTGCACCTAAAATGTGTTACCGAAAGCGATCTGTGCTTAGGGAATTGGGTACCAGAAAATAAGTCAACCTTGAAGATTTTCGAAAATTGTTATCCAAGGAGAATCACAACCATTAATGCTCGTCGGCCAAGATTAGCTGAAATAAGTAATTTGAGGGGCGGGACCATTCGTTTGGAACCAAAGTACAATGTTTCTTTTAAATATAGTGACGAGTGATATTTACTTACTTTCAGGGTTTTTAAACGAATGCGCTCCGTGTGCCTGCCTATTGTATGGACGTGATTAGAAGTAGGTAAAGTAAATCTCACTTGCAGCTTGAAAAGTGAATTCCAGATGAACAAGCCTCGAAGAATCATTGTGTTGATTCTATGATAGTGGTTGTGGGCTAAATGTATTTAACCTCAGCCAACTCAATCCATGGCCGAATTTTAGTGTTTTTATAATGAGTAGCATATGAGTGAGGCTTGTACGTCTCAAATCCACTCCCTGAGCTGCAAATGAGAATCGCGTTGCCTAATTCACATCCGGCGTTCAAGTATAAGAATGACCAGACAAGATTACATAATACGGACAGCGGCCTAATGGCGAAGATGACGAAATCGCTTATATACTTCTGGGCAATTTTGCGCAGTCGTCTATATACTACTCATTACAACTGGAAGTATTGGTTGTTGAACAGCGATGTGGGAGTTGCACTCTAATAACTTGAAGTCGATAACAAGGAAAACTTTGTGGTTGATCCTGAAAACAGGCCATCGGAGCCCCTGGTATACAGAAGATAAAGCCCATTTTATGCCGCTGTGGATTCACTTAGGCCCTACCACCGGTGAGCTAGACGCTTAGAACAAGCATACAAACTTAAATAGATCAATCGTATTTTCCCAACGGAGTTTTAAAAAGGTTTTTCACTTATTCCTCTCGTAAACCAGTTCGAATTCTCGGAGACCTCTGAGGTCATACGTAAAAGGCACACTTCTTTACAGTGTGCCTTCTACCCTCAGAACCACGAGACCATATCTGCAACCTTTATAGGGATGACACTTTATATGGATCGGAAAATGGTTTATTACCGTTCTAGACAGTGGGCATGAAAGAGGGGAACTAATGAAGACAACCGTAGTTTCACTGGGTTTGACATACTAATTTCACTAATAATCTAATGCTATTGCGAATTGACTGAGTCTGTATCAATCTTAACTTTCAGTGATATAGTACACCACTTTTACACAGTTTTCGAAGTGTCATCTAAAGGCAATGACGGGTGTGTATCACACAATGCGAAGCCCTTATCAGCTGGAAAGGCTATCTATTTAAATTCCGTTTACTGGAAAATGGGGCAATTCACTGTATCGGTGTAGGGAACCAAAAGAAAACCATGAGATTGATCAAATGTGCGATCACAGTGATGATCAAACGGCAAATGTAAGTAAATTATTACTTCGAACGACGTATATCCGAATCACAACAGTAACGTCCGACTTTGCCCTTTCTTTTTATTTTCTATGGTAGTCCATTGATCAGAAGATTTACTTTTCTTGAAAACTACATCATTATATTTTATTGCTTGGGTATTAATTTCGAACCAAACGAACTCGAGTTTTTAAGGGATTCGAGACGTTTCCCCCGTTTCTGTTTGTTTGCATCAGCTCGATTGTACTCTGTTTAATCTGGACAAAGCGTGAGTAAACTAGAATAATTCAAACGTTGTTGTCGTTGATCTGTAAATTGTCAAAAGTTTGCATTCCGGATATCTTTTATACATACACTTGATACTCGAAATGCTTTGAAATACATGACTGACTCTTGCAGGACTCATATGCTGTGCCCCTCGAGAGAAATGTTCAACACAATTGTGTGCCGATGGTGTGCACGGTTTTTACCACTCACTTGCATGGAAAAGATAACCGTCGGGATAGGCGACACTCGGATGGCTAGCGGGAGTATCTTACAGGCAAAAGCATATCTGCTGCTTAGGCGCCGAGGATGCTCGATGGATAGGAAAATTTGCGTTTTGATGGTGCACGCTTTTGCATTATTTATGACTGTAAAATTCAAATGTCTGAGAACAAAAACAATTTGCATTAGAGAATCTTCACCGATATGGTTGCAAGACCAAATATGTTGAAAACACTCCCAGGGGAACCATTTCACAGGAGTGTTTATTGATTTTAACTAGAAATCCGACTGAAAGTTAGTTCTCTCAGAAAGCTTGGAGATACTTTATATTGTGAGAACAGATCAAGAGGAATCCGTTAACTAACTTAAACCGCTAATATAACAAA